TATATGAGCCCAAATCCTATGAGTGAACGTACCATAGGTGCACTTGGCCCAAAAATGCTCGTGGGCTAAAAGTAATGAAACCATCAGGCATTACTACATATCCTCAGACACATCAACACGACATGCATCACACATTCCAACCGACCGGAGTTGTGTCACATGATTATTTATTAGACTTGTTATGAGAAAGCGGTCCAACTCACCTGATGGCCGACTGACTCTCCCATAATTTCGGGTTTGAAATTCAATGGAGGAAGTGTCAACCCTATTTACCCAGCTCCTCCCAACCCTCCTTCCCTGACACCTGGGGTAAAAAAAAAACACGAATACCCCTCACCGCAGACTATTGTAAAGGTTTGAACTTTGGCATTCCAATCAACAGTGCTGCCATAATTTATCTCTCTAACTCTCATAGTTTATTTCTCTATATATTAGATGTCCACTATCCATGAGTCGTATACTATAACTAGCACGGGAACGCGCGTTGCGCGATATCCGTGCCCAACGTCAGGAAACACAAGAAAAAAATGGGGAAAAAACAGTTTTAAAACAGGAAGAGGAAACATAGTGTAGTATCAAATAAACATTAGAAAGTGCATACAACTTGCAAGTGTAAAATAAGCTTTAAAAGAGATGTTCTTGCAAGTGTAATATTCAAGTGCATACAACTTGAATATTACATTCTTGCAAAGCAACACCTCCATACATAATACATTCACTTGTATACTCTTATCTCCAACATAGATGTTCTTAATTTCATACTCCTCGAATTAAATATTCATGCTTACTGGCATAGCTATCCCCTCTAGATACATACTCCACTTACTAAAGTATGTTAGGGAGTAGGGAACAAATGAAACTTCACCAATGGGGAAGCTTCCAAATACTACAATCAACCCAAGCTTCCAAATCTACAATAAAACAGTAAAATAGAGGAGAGAAAAAGAGTGCATACTTTCTCAATTTAGCATATGCCTCAGCCTTCTTTAAAGGATACCTAGAAGAATAGAAGGCAATCAAGCAGTCGCATATTGGCCAGCTGCAAATGTAAACAAATTATAAGATTAGCAATGATACATTAAAGTTTGGAGCCCGCTGCCTTGTGTAAAGCAGCAATGACAGAATTTTGAATACAACTCTCTTGTTAGATATTACATATATTTAACCAACTCAGCACGTCTGGACATGTAAGGGAGAACCCATATACAAAATTAAACATCCATAAACAACCATGGGTGCCATGGTATGCCCTGCCTCGCCGCAAATTTAAAAATTCTGTAAAAAACATGTGTTACATTTTTCCCCAAAAATTCTTTGTACCGGCCCAACCTAGTTTGCACCCCTGGCTACGCCACTCAAAACAGCATCATAACAGCTATTGAGAGCTCTACCAGATCAAATAGAAACCATACCGCTCGATTGGATCCTCAGGGATAACCTTGTCACCAAAATGTACAACCTGCCAGCATCATGAATGTATAGAATAGCTTTAAAACAAAAGTTGCAGCAGCAACACCAATCCACTCTTACAACTGGAAGCTCAAGTAAATAAGCAAAGGGAAGTTCCAAAAAGGCGAAATAGGAAAAATATGAATCTGTTACTGTATAATTTTCATTTTCTAAAAGCTATCAAGAGCATTTTCAAAACACATTTGCTTTATAGGAATAATTAAGCTCAGAAAAGTAGTGAATAGATAGAATGAGCACCTCAAATTCACCAAATGATTGTAACCTGTCTAGAATCTGCCCTATAGGTGCTGAAAACGCCTAAAATCAGTTCAAAAAAACAACCAATAAGTCACTGAATTATACACGATCAAATCTGTATATAAAACAGTACAATTTCAGTGCATGTTCTGCGAGAGAGCTTGCTATATTCAAGAAATATCCACTCTTAGTTCCCCTAACAACAAAGTCCTTAGGACAGTTCTTTCTCCGTAAAGAAAATTGTACATAAAAAAGTGAAAATTGCACCTCAGGATTCCGACAACTCAGAGCTCATGGATGGACAGACGACGTAAATATAAATTGAGAAAATAAACTGTAGATATGTTAAATGAGTTTGGGGGACATCCATGGTGAAGGCTAAATGGATGAACGGTGTAAATATAAGTTAAATAAATGAATTACCTAAATTGAGAAAATTGCACCTCAGGATTCCGACAACTCAAAGCTCATGGACGGACAGACGACGTAAATATAAATTGAGAAAATAAACTGTAGATATGTTAAATGAGTTTGGGGGACATCCATGGTGAAGGCTAAATGGATGAACGGTGTAAATATAAGTTAAATGGATGAACGGTGTAAATTCACCTAAAATCAATTACAGTTGACACTATATTTGTAAAAAATAAGAGAAAGAAACAATCCATATTCACTCTGCTTTATTTACCTAAATCAATGGCCAGAATCAGTGCAGGACTTCCAGAAGACACCGCCTTCTCGACAACGACTAAGATCCGGACAAGCACTCACTTTACCTCCTGTTGATGGCGCAGAATAGATTCAGAGCAGGAAATGTCTTGGGCGAATGTGTTGGTTCATGAAGCTGGCGGCTTTCATGTCTCTAGGGAAGCTGCTGGTCTGCGGTTGAAACCTGAAACGAGAAGGAAGGTACAAAGGTTGAAAGATGAATACAGGATCAATCAATCAATATGAAAATTAATACCATGACATGGGACGATTACCGGGCGAACAGAGTGATGCTCGTCACTGGACACTGGTAGCTTCGCCTGATGCTCGTCGCTAGGCGCTGGGTAGATTCGGTGGTGAAAGAATTTTCTTGAACCCTAAACTCCGAAGCTGTTGAATTCGAAGAGCGCAAGGCCGGGTGTTTAGTGAGCAACAAGCAGAGCGTTCAAAGGCTCAAAGGAGGCCAAGTCATCGTTAAACGGAAGCAACAGACGGAGGCAATATTTGGGCACTGTAGATACGGTAAAACGACCATCTAACTCTCTCTGGCACTTTACATTTTTAGTAGATGTGTATGTATTATATCCAAAAATTTGTATGGGCTATTTTAATTATGATATATTTCTACTTTGATAAGGTAGCTAAAATAAAAAGATATATGTATTTAGGTATACTTGGAATCTTCTAAATTTTAGATGTAGGTACATAAATAGAAATAGTTATATACAAATCCTCCTATACGTCATTACAGTACCATTTATACGACATCCGTTTTTTTACTAGAATCCCTTATGCAACAATATGTTGGGTGCACACACGATATAAGAGATACACAACAGCGTCAAAAGATTTTGAGATCAGCTAACATGAATCGATTCGATACATGATATGTTAACCAAAAGGAAAAGAAAGATAAGAAAGATCCAAAAAAGATAATATAAAAAGAGATTGATATACATAAAATTGATTGAATAAAATGGATAATTCACACACACATATAAAGATAAAAGGATAAACAACAAGAAAGAAAAAGAAGACGAGGAGAAAAAAATGATAAGAGATCATTCCTCCAAACGAACATCCGCTCCCTTTTTGCTCTCTCCAAAGCCATACCCTCATCTAACCCAAGAAGAAGCATATCACTTGTGACTCCTCTAATCCATCTCCGTTTGAGAGATACAAACATATTAAATTAGTAAATAGAGTTTGTCTTTCCTTCTTTCTACCATTTTATGTATTTTGTTAAATTGTCATCCGAAATATCCTCAAATATATAGGACACAAATTTGTCATATTCGTTTAAATAGGTTTACAATTAAAGTAAAACCAAACAATTAAATGATAACTAAAAATACTCCTTTATTGTACAACTTCCACCTTCTCAAAGCAACCATAGTCGAATCGCAACTACTACAAAGGGAGTGTGCAATTGCTTCTGCTTAAAAAAGCACGTTTGAAAATGTAAGGAAAAAGTGATTAGTAGTAAAAATTGATAGTGTTTGAGAAAAAGTGATTTTGAAAAGTAAAAGTTGATAGTGTTTGGTAAAATAAGTGCTTTTTGTGTAATAAAATAGGGAAAAACACTTTTCACACACAAGTCGAGAAAAAGTAAAAATTGGTAGTATTTGGTAAATAAGTGTTTTTTTAAGCCAAAAACTGAGAAACGCTTTTTTTTAGTAGGCTGTTACAAACCCTCCTAAGCCGCCACCACCGTTGCTAGTGGAAATTTCTAGTCACCGCTGTAGAGTCATCGGGCCGGCCTCCACCCACCACTAGAAAGGTACTAGCAGTCGTCGAACAATAAACAATTACTAGTAGTCACTAGACGCTAAAATTTTGGCCGTCCACCGGCAGTTTTAAGACAGTCACCATGGAACTATAAGTGCGATTGGTAAAATCCTAGAAATGCTAACCTTAAACCCTAAGCTTGATTGGTATACCCTAAACTGTAATGGTAAACCATTAGAGTACGTATTTTAGATTAATATAATTAGCCTTATCAAATATAGAATCGGGGACAGATCCAGGATTTCGAGTCAAGGGGGCGAAATTTTTTTATATAGTAGAAAATTTTGAAAGTCCCCGCCCCCCCTAATTAAATCCATCCCTGTATAGGATCATATAAGTCATACTTAAGGAATAAAAGCTAAGAAGTCTTATTTTAATAAAGAAGTTAAGTTTTAGCTTATAATAAAGAGATTTTCCGACCCCCTACCCACCGTAAGTGAGAGCTTTTGCGGCACTAGGGTAATGATCATGATAATGAATAAAGAGACAATTTCACATTTTCATTACAATGTCTATAAAAAGGGAGATATTTTATATCCCATGTGTTAAGCGATGCCCTCCCCTAATCTGTATGAAAAATCCATTTGTACACGTCATGCATGTTCCCTTTTATACACATCGAGTCCGATTAGAGTAATGATGCAGTTCTTGTCTGTTAATTATGATCACAAATAACTAATGTTGCATGAAAAATATCTGGAAATTGTGTAAGTTGTTCATATATACAACTATTTATTATCAGTGAGCGCTATTGGTTTGTGCGCCGCAGACATTGCATTGCTTTGTATGTCTGCAAAAAAACTATTATCTGTTGTAGGGAGAATTGAGCGTATAGTTTCATTATCAAAAGCCCTATAAATAGGGAGGTATTAGGGTTTACAGAGACGGGCCAATGGACCCATAATACATAGTTTACATAGAATGATCCTAATACATATTCTATATAAACGATAGCACACTACATAGAATTTCCTTCAACACTCCCCCTTGTGCTGAGTTGCAGATAGAATTTGGTATCAGTCTTGTTGCCTCGTCAGAACCGTGTCAAGTAACAAAAACCCTGTGGGAAAAAATTACCTTGACCGGAGAAAAAGATTATAACATCAAGATAGGCTTCTTCCATTAAACCCATCTTTATTTGATCCTTGCTTTGATCATTAAAGTTTATATGTGTTGTTACCTCATCAAAAACCTTACCAAGTAACAAAACCCGATGGGAAAAATAAAACTTGGTTAAAGGAAAAGAGTGTAACGTAATGTAGATGGGGAACTCCCCCTCAAGTCTACACATATCCTTAATAGTTACATTAATCAAGGATGTTTGGAAAGTTCGTGAATTCCAATACTTGTCACATTACTTACCTTAGCGAAGGCACACAAATAGAGGAATATAATTCCTTTAATTCTCCCCCTGTGTGCCGAGTGTAAGGTGATTAATGTTAAAATTATTAACTTGTTAAAATTATTAGCTTGTTAAACCTATTGCCAATGAACAAAACCCAATGGGAAAAATAAACATCGGTCAAAGGAAAATATGATGCACTAATAAGCACGCGTCAATTACTTTTGACTGCGATATATTAATTATGTTCTTCCTTCAACATAGTTTTACCTTCGCAAAATTAAAGTGGGGGATGGTGCATATTATGTTGGCTCAAAAAACCTTACCAAGTATCAAAACCCAATGGGAAAAAATAGACCTTGGTTAAAAAGGAAAAAGAGTACAACACGCCAATATAATATAATTGATGATAAATAAGTGTGTAAGTACTCCCCCTGAGTGCAACACATCAATAAGAATCTAACATTTACTTGATATATACTTTTATCAAGGGATTTCGTATATAACATCATGGTTTCTTTCATGATAAATATATACTCATTAATAAAATATCGATATAGTAAGGGGATACATATCATCGGTAAAACTCAAATCACGTTGTTTTGTGTTAGAGTAATACTTTTGATGTTTTCAATTCCTTTAGGAATATTGTTATCATCAATCATTTAATTCAATGCATAAGGGATGAATAAAGATTACTCCAATGGTTTCATATAGATATCAAAGTACACTCTTGATACCATTTCAATGACGATATACGATGTGTTGGTCAAAGTACAATCATGCGCATATGGCACTTACATAGGGAATTTCTCCTCCCAATAACTTTTTAGTAATGGAACTTTTCTAGTATCCATATTTCGACCAATCATGGGAGTGCTAACAGTTTACATTTATCCATATCAATTTTGCCTGAGAACCCTTTTGGATATATGCAACTGGTGAATTAGTATTCAACCAACTCGGTGTTTAATTTCAAAACAGAACCAAGTTTCCCAAGATCCTTCATCTCAATTATGATTTTCAAGTATCTAACATGTCTCATGTTCCATTATGAGTACATATTATGTCTATATCATGGAGATACAGTGATATTTGGAAACAAAACTTATTCCATTATAAATGCGCTAGGCATAATATATTCATTTTGCATCCCTTTTAAGTCAAGTGGTCACTTAGACGGGTATGTCACTCCCGTCTGGATTGATTTAATCCAAATGTGAACGTATATAATGTTATTAAAAACCACTTGATAAAAACATAAGTGCTTCATAAAAACATAACTGCTCTTAAGTAAGATTGAGACATGTATTTGGTGACCCCAATCTTTAGCTGCGTCTCCATTACTTTGGAGGCTACTTAAAGATTAAGTAGTTGAACATTTTTGTGTTCAAAATAGAGAAGTGTGTAATTTTTCATATTTGAATCCAGGGCATAATGAGAATAATTAGGACCTCATTACCTCAATACGCTTTCTAACAAAGAATAATTTATGTCCTACAGGCTTTACACTTGGTTGATTAGCACTATCACACCAAATACCTGTCTCTTTGTCAAATATTAAATTTATACCTGGATTACTTGTACGCTTTTAGGCCAAAATTCTCATTGCTTTCATGTTGCAATAGAGTATGGTTCGATATCATCGTGCTCTATATTCGTTTGAGCAACCATAAATATATCATCAGTATAAGTGTAAGGTCTATCATTCGACTCATACACTCTCATTAACATGGAGATTTTAATTCTCTGGAATCATTTAAACTTCGGGGCGTCCCCCATTATTGATTCATGGACATGTTTAGTAAGAGATAATCTCATGAGAGGAATTCATATGATGACGAATATATTGGTTTGTGCCTTATCTACCATCTACTACTTGGGGTGGATAATTGATCGAACCATATGGCTTCACTCTGTTCCTTTAGAGAGCCACGGCCTCAACCATAACCCCACGGTTTGTGGTTGCAATGCTTCTTCCTTTAGCATTGTGTCTTTTAATTTGAATTCAAGCCTTATGAATATATTTGCAGTTAATGTGTATAATCTGATTACTTAAATCATTTATGATAATTGATAAACACTTCAACTTCAATGTTACATTTTGAAGTCTAAAGTTTATCATTGAGACAGAGTAGTGATGTACCTGCCATTTAATTAGAGAATTCTTTCTCTAATCTCCCCCTAATGACAGGAAAATTAGTTGTCTCATAAAAGTAATATTCCGCAAAGCGGTGAACACATTATTTGTTAAGGCTTGTAGCGGTTATTATTGGAGGTTCATATCCAACATAAACAACATTTGTCTTTTAAAACCGATTATAGTGCGCTGTGGGGGGCGCATTAGGCACAATTAGTTAACAACCATATATATATATATATATATACGTAGAACATCTCAGGCTAAGATCCAGTCACCAACTGGTATACACAAAAGGGTTGTCTACTGTCGGTCTAAAAACAAATGTGTAAGAGTGCTTGCAATATTGCATAATCCCATGAAAATAATTATATATACGTGTGCGCATAGTAGATATAATATTCACCATCTATATTCTTTTAGATGTGAGCTTTAGTGAGACTTTATTTTTACATGGGATGTGAGATGATTTTCATTTATCTCAACAAATATGCAATACCCATCAAGTACTTTTTGATGAGAACTGTCTAGCAGTAACAAGTCATATAGACTTGATTGGTCGGGTGGTGGGCCCTTAAATGAAATAAATTTTTGCTAGAAGTTTAGCAAATGCAATATTTTATGTGACAAGAAAATAGATAGCATGAGGAGATTTCTACCAAACCATAATTACTTAAATGACCCGCATTTTGGTGGATAAGTTCTCATGTGTCACATTGTATTAAAAAATGAGATAATCTTCATTTTTATATCCTTAGCATAGACAAGTCTGGATTCTATTATTGCTAAGGAGTAAACTTTAAGAAATAACTGACATACCTTCTAAAATATTTGTTAAGGCATAATGGAGAGTACAAATTTCTTCTCATACTTAAGAAGATTTATATTGATTTGTTATTAAGCAATGTTAATACCAACAATTTACCTCCTTGTGTCGGATTCCTTTTATCCTTTATTCGAATAATTAATGGTGACTCGGTTATACTAAAATTTGTATGAGTCAATGCCCATTTTGACTCATAAATTTGCTAAATATGCATTTTCTTTTGCAATTAGTAGATGTAAAATGATACCTTCCATCTCATTTTTATAACGAGTTTCTATGTGAATACCCATTGAGAGTAGCCCAGAGGGCATTGATGTCCGAGCAATGTGAGAGTTCGGAGAAGCCTCACATACTCTTACAGCTCACAAGACATGGACTCATGACATGGTTCTTTTTTATGTGAAAACCATTGTGATGAATAAATTTTGAACGTAGTAAGCTTTGGTGACTTCTAGATGCATTTAGAGGTCACGAGTACAATTCTATTCATTTAGATATGAAATTTTTAGACAGTCTATCGCCTTTAATCAATCATAATGAAAATCAGAATTAGTTCAATAGATAAATGTGCATTTGTTAGTTTATTGTGTACAACCACAATTAGTTAAAACACCTATTTGTCAGTGGTTATAATAATTTGCAAATGTCACTCATATATTTTAGAGTGCTATTATCTCAATCAGAATGAGGTACATATCATTCTATTATTTTATGGATATACTCCTTTGTATACATTGGTATATGTACAAAATTTATAGATATGCCAGTGCATAAAAGTCTTATAACAAACTTTAAGACTCAAACTAAAAGTCTAATTAGAAGTTATAATGTTCATATTTATGAAACTCGTGAAAGAGTTAAACTAAAAAATGGATAAATCCAACAATTAGAGAAAATTCTTATTTTCAACATAGGGGATAATCATAAATCTGAATTTAAAATTTAGTCTCTCTTAGTCTCATGTAATGAATTTCTTACTCTTCAGAGATTCTTTGTCGCTTCCAACCAATAGATGTACAACAAATGAATTTTACCCAATATTCATATCACTATACATATTTCTTTGAAGTTTCTTTATCCAAGGAGAATTCTTTGTGTGTCACTTTTTTGACACGTGCTAATACAATCATAACCTTATTAAGTGGTTTACCTCTACTAGTTCATTAGTATAAGTGTAGCGATTGGTATAAAATTGAGACAAAATCGTTTTACCAAATGAACTTTTGTGATTAGTTTTCATACACATTTTTTTACGCATGACATGTGCCCGACATGCATTGATATTTTTGTACTTAATCAAGTAAAATTGATTGCAGTAATCAGTAATTGAGATACAATGTGTTATAAATTATTGGGGGAAAAAATATTATATGACATTCCACTTTCCTTTTTCTTTGAACGGAGAGGAATATAGTGATTCCAACATTAGAAAGCTGAAAATGATACTCATGTTCTGTTGCCCAAAACGTCACAGTCGAATTGAGTTGGACAAGCAAACCTTAATTAAAATATACAATTATGAGTATATCAGAATTATTTCCTTCCAAAGAATGGAATATATTCTCAAAAAAAAAATATAAGAGCATCTCCAATGCTATAATGTCCACGTTGCATATGTGGCATGAGTGATAACCACATAAATATTAGCAAATGAATTATTTATCTCCTTATTTGAATGATTTTATACAATTTTGGTAAGTTTTTCCCTACAATGTCAACAACAATGTCAACATCTAGACGGTCTCCTTGACAGTGTGGAGAAAAACTTACCAAAAATGTATAAAATCATCCAAATAAGGAGAGAAAGAATTTATTTACTAATATTTATGTGGTTATTTCCCATGCCACGTGTGCACCGTGCACATTTTACCATTGGAGATGCTCTAAAGGCTAATTGCCATCCTTTGGATAAAAACGTGGAATAGATTCTAAAGTCAAAAACTTATAATGGTGTCAGAATTACTTGAATACAATAAATTGGCATGAAAATAAATTGACATGAAAATCTACAGCGCACAAGATAGGAATGTTCATTATTTTGGCTTTTAACAAACACTAGTGCTTGTGCTAATGTGGGCTTTCACCAATTATAATTTTTATTATTAAAAGAATTATAAGCAATAATTCTGATTGGTATGACTTATAAGCACATATATATGCAATAAAACATTTAATATGCACAAAATGTTATACGATGAGCATTTTAAGGGATATGTATAGTGATGATAGATGATAAACAAGCAAGACAACGTGCAAGATAATGCCACTAATTATATACGGAGTATAAATTGTTAATAATTAAAATTGTAAAATAGGTACACATCATACGTATATCATCACATATAATGAATAAAACAGCACATAATTGACATACCTGGGACCCTCTGCATGTGGGAATTGAAATGGGATGCACTTGTAATTTCAATTGGGGCCCTCCACGTATATTTGTCCATCCTTGTCGATCGATCAACTTACCTCCGACTGAATGGAAACGACCAGCGTCACAGACACCATCAGACAAGGTGATGGATGGCGCCGCTTGTTCGCGGTCGCTTGTTTGCAACAGCTACCTTCAAGCTGCGGCTTCGTTAGCGGCTGAATAGGGACGTCAATCTGCCAAATTTGGCTGAGGGAAATGTGCACCGGACTCCAGCAAGTGACTCTCCAGCGGCTGCTTTGACAAGGGTGGCGGAAATTCGGCAATTGAGGCTGGTGGCCGGTGGCCATAAGCCTGCTGTAATTAATGTGCGCAGCAACAGATCCGGCGGGAGACATCTTTAAGCGATGGATCCGACAGGCAGCATTTTTGGATCCGGCAGGGCAGCGGCGAGAGACTAAGTGCGACTAAGAGGGGGCATCGGAATGAGGACGGCGGCTAATAGAGGGGGGCGACCGGCTGGTTGGGACAATGATGACCATGAGCATCAGACTAGCGGTCAGTGAGCTTCATGGGAGGGGATGAATTTAGCGACGGCAAATAAAGTGATGATTCTTTGAACGCCGTAGCATGAGGCCATACAAGGGAGCCATTAATGGAGGTGAGATGGAGGTCTTTGCCGGTAGCAGCGGCTGAGGGAGGTAGATGTTAGAGTTCTCGTGATGATAACGTGTTGTAGGGAGAATTGAGCGTATAGTTTCATTATCATAAATAGGGAGGTATTAGGGTTTACAGAGACGGGCCAATGGACCCATAATACATAGTTTACATAGAATGATCCTAATACATATTCTATATAAACGATAGCACACCACATAGAATTTCCTTCAACATTATCCATGCATTGTGAAATAAATCTACATGAAAACATTTAATTATAAACACATATAATCATTGTTTGTCAATTGACATGTTTCTGTGACACACATATTTATTTTTGTGTCCACCTCTATACTATGACACTTTAAATCAATGTATGAGAACAAACAATAACTATAATTGTATGTGATAAATATTAATCCTTAGTTATCTTCGAAGAAATCAAATTGATTGAAATTTACACACCACGGTGTATACTAGGCGATAACACTGCGTACACTGACCATTAGAGTATCTCCAACGGTTAGCTAATTATCTTCCTAGCTTGATTAGCCACGTAAGCATTTGCAGCAAAATTAAAATTTACTCCAATGGTTAGCTATGTCATCTTCCTCTTCATTTATTATTAATAATGTTATATTTAATAATTTATTTGCTCAAGCTAGTAGCTCATTTTGGCTAATTAGCTTTCTCAAGCAAAAGGTTAAGCAATGCTCCAGTGGTAAGCAATTAGCTTTAAAATTGCAAGCAAGTCCTTAAGAGGAACCATTGGAGATGCTCTTAGGAACCCATTTAGTAAAGGTGGACGGGCTGAATAAGTAATATTTGTTCAAATTGGTGAAGGCCAGGTCTGAATGAAATGAATATTTAGCTAAATGTGATGAATTGTGATAATATTAAACATAAAATATATTTTATTTTTAATTAGATAAAGAAAATGAATATATGAAAAAGAAAATACCCCCTTTAGCAAAACGCCTCAATTTAATCAGAAAAGAGACTTTAACCTTATACTTCATATATTTAATCAAAAGTTTTACGGTATATCTTATATAAAACTTGTCTAATAATAATGTTAATAAATTGAAAATAGAAGTTGCCAAATGAGACTATGAGCCCTTTTGAAAACACCCATTTTTGGCTTAACAACCTCATTAACCAGCTTTACTACCAAGCGTATTTTTTTTTTGACTTTGTAGGATCAATAGTGTAATTATCAAAATAAGTAAAACTGAAGTTACTTTTGCAGCTGGATTGAGAGAAATTGCGGAAATGAACTATTTTTTATTGATATAACTTTTCTTTCTTTATTTTATTGGTAAAATATACTTTATGTCACGCCCCGGACCTATCCGGACACGTCAACAACCCGCCGTACAATACGAATAGTCAACCGCAGTCCAACACATTCATATTATACAAGGCGTCTTGAATATCATTCACACATATACATCCATAAACAAACATAATAAGTAATTCATAACGCAGCGGAAACGTTGTTTAAAACAAAAGGGCCACACAAGGCATTTCATGAGCACGCAGGCTCCATAGTAAAATATCCATGAGCATGTTTAGAAAGGTTTAAAAACAGAATGGAGGAAGCACGAACCAAGTCTTCCCTCCTATATGATCTCTCGAGCAACGAGCACAGGAAGCAAGCTCTAGCCTCAACCTGAAAAATGGTGGTGGGACGCCCCCGAAGGGGTCAGCACTCTATAGGGCTATAAAGTGCTGGTGTGGCAGGCATCTAATAGATATACAACAAGTATTTCACACACAAGACCCTCAAATAGGGTGATAATATAGTATAGGCCGTAATCCCAGATTACCCCTTTCAAATACATACTTACTTTATATAAAGTCAAGTAGTCGGCTCAAAGGCCCGTGTTTGTTATAAAACATTTCCCAAACCCCGTGACTAATAGTCACGACAATACATAGGGTCCAACCCTAATATAACTTCTCATTTCTAGAGTTAGGCTCGAGTACATCATCATGCACTCGCATCATAGATCTCCTACTTCATATAATCATATCATAGATCTCCTACTTCATGTATTCACCCCATAGATCTCCTACTTCATACAATCCCACCATAGATCTCCCACTTCATATAATCACACCATAGATCTCCTACTTCATATAATCGCACCATAGATCTCCTACTTCATATAATCACACCATAGATCTCCTACTTCATACAATCACACTTGACACTTGAATCTTATTCAAGTTCATCACAAACAACTCAAACCTTAAATTTGATTCTATCAACATTTTGAACAATCCTTAACTAGCATCACAATACTATTAAGATTATTCCTACAACTCATTTATCATAAATGGTAGCCCCTCCATATCAATAGATATGTGGCAGCCTCCCATGTGCGAAGCATCATCATGAAATTATACATTTACATACACATAACATTCATACATGAGTTGGAAGGTCAATTTACCATATTAGCATACTTTTATCTCACATGACTCCATATTCATCAATATGGTTTCAATTCATGGTCAAGTCCATTACTTATCATTCATATCATGTTCAAGCATATTTATTCACAAAAACATGATTCAAGCATTTAGGTAATCTCATGCATAACCTACAAGTTGTAAGCAACTAGATGTCGGTCCTCACCTCAAATGAGCTTTAAAACCTTCCTTCTCGCTCCAACGACCAAAGCCTCGGCCAAGAAGGTTTTAGAACTGATTCCTTGCTTGGAATTGAGTGTTAAACAGCCCCCTCAAAGTGCTAGTTCAACTCCTACCCGAAGACGCAAAAACAGTCCCTAGAACGGGTGTTTCCCGACGAATTCGTTCCCTAACCTTTCAAGGTTTTGTCTAGGTTAGTATCTAACCTTTCCAACAATTAAAGTCACTTTATAATAACATTTTATACACTTCAATCAGTGTATAATAGTTCTTCAATCATTTATACGATTTAGACAATAGAGAGGAAGGTTTTGGATTCAAACTTACTTTGAATACAAAAACGTATTCTGCGAGGTTGTGTTTTTCTCGGACGATTTGGAAGCCTTCCACTACTCCGATTGATGAAAACCAGACATCCACGGATTCCTCGTCTTGAGAGATTTCTTTTGGTATCTTATACGCTTTAATTGGACGAGTGAATCTCGAGTTATGGCTCAAACAATCAGAGCTACGCACTGAAGAACGAACCTGCGGACAGCTTGCTCTCTCTTTGGCTTATCTTGGTTATGTGGCTCTCTCCTTCTCTCTTATCTTGGGGAGTTCGAATGGGATGTAGGGGGGAGTGTAAAGGATGCCTTAAACATGCTAAGAGAGCATGTGGCTCACAAAAGAGCATGGGAGACATTGGTTTGCAATCAAATGTGAGGTGGACCTCCACCTTTATTTCTTTTTGTAATGTATTGCTCTTAAGTCAACATGCTCGCCCCATATAGTCATCTCACCCATTTTTTCTTTGTCTTGCAGGTACTCAAGTCATGTGGAGTGGTTCCCAATTGATCCCAATCATTTTGGGGTCCAAAATATATATCAATACTTCCAAAAATGGGAAGATGGGTCCTATAGTTTTATCTTTTGTCAAAGATGTCTTTTTGTACTCATCCTAATTTATTTAGAACAAGTCAACTTCCTCCATCACATTATTGATCTCCAATATGTGTAGGTTCATCACAATAATTTACTTGATGGATATCATAGCAGGAAAATCCTACTCCCATTATTTAGCTCAATAATGCCAAAGATGGGGTTATAGGCATTTGTATTCTTCTTTAATCATTCTATCACTTATTTGACATTTGTCATACATATTATTGGGCTACTAGCCGTGTGGGTCACTCCCGAGTGGGTCTAGAACGTCATTCTCGAATACTTGCTATTTTTAGCAGGTTGGGCCCCAAATAATGTTTGGGCCGCCCGACCTTCCTCAAATTGTCTTGAAAGATTATGTATCACTATTTAAATAATGTTGGGCTTTTTTATTTATTTATTAATAAGTCCCGAATAAGTATTTGCAAAACCCGACACTAATGTACGAGTTTGAATAGTACGATATTCAACCATGCACTACGTAGGACATTAATCGTTTTACAATTGTTTGGAGTCGGAAATTCGATACATATATTTGAATTTAAATTGAATTTTCAAGGACGTTCGGGTGCGGTGTCACAAGTTCACCCCCCCTTAACAGGAATTTCGTCCCCGAAATTCACAGCTCTACTCGAATAGAGAAGCGTACTGCTTCCTCATCAAGGCCTCTGTTTCCCATTTCTCTTCTTTGACCCGATCGCTCTTCCAAAGGACTTTAACCATTGGGACTTCTTTGCTCCTCAGTTTCTTCACCTTTCTATCGGTGACCTTGATTGGTTGCACAGCGTAGTTCAAATCCTCACGTACCTCTACAGGCGGCTTTTCCAATACGTGGGAGGGATCATGTACATACTTCTTAAGCATGGATACATGAAACACATTATGTATCTTCTCTAATTCAGAAGTCAACTGTAGACGATATGCAACGGCCCCAATCCTCTCTATAATTCTGAATGGACCTATGTATCGTGGGTTAAGCTTTCCTCGGGTTTGGAATCGAATGATTCCTTTCCAAGGAGAAACTTTCAAGAATACTTCGTCCTCAACCTTAAACTCTAAGGTTCTTCGACGCTTATCTGCATAACTCTTTTGTCTATCCTGAGCCGCTTTGAGTCTCTCTCGAATCAACTTCACCCTTGACTTGGTGATCTCAACCAACTCAGTACCCTCGAGTATGGCCATGCCAACCTCGTCTCAGCATAACGGTGTACGACACCTCCTCCCATACGATGCTTCATATGGAGTGATAAGTCCGTATTTAGACACGCATTTGATGCGTGTTGGGATTGGATTTTGATGGTTTTCCTAGATTTAAGGTGTTGCAAGTCTTAATTTTAGCTCAAGTTATGTTTAACATGTGTTGGTTCGAGTTTTGTTGCATTTGGAGTCAAAATGAGGAATTTAGAGTTCAACATCGGCACTTGAGGAGCAATCGGGATGATTCGAGATGCATTAGAGAGTGGATTGAGAGCTTTGGAGGTCACCGGGAGGTTCACGATGAAGATTTGATGACAAAAGAGCTCTAGGATTGGCTATGGGATCAAAAGAAGAACAATGAAGCTGGAAAAACGACGATCAGGATGACCTTTGGTCAATCGTTCAAGCATATCTCTTTGTAGAAGCATCCACAGGACACGATTCAAGTTGCATATGAAATCCAACTTCAAGGGCTACAAATCATATGAAGACACCATTACGAGAATATGAGAGAAAGAAGGTGAAAACAGACGATGAAGT